TGTTTCGCTCAAAAAATCGATTTTTGATGCTAAATGACAGTGATCACAGATTTTCTTTCTTTTTGCCCTAGCGCCTCTAGTTTAGCCAGAAAATGGACTTTTATGTTTTCACTCAAAAAAACGATTTTTAGTGGGAAATTAAAATTATCACAGATTTTCTTTCTTTTTGGCCTAGCACCTCTAGTTTAGACAGAAAATGGACTTTAATTTTTTCACTTAAAATATCGATTTTAAGTGGGAAATTAAAATGATCACAGATTTTCTTTCTTTTTGCCCTAGCGCCTCTAGTTTAGCCAGAAAATAGACTTTTAAGTTTTCACTCAAAAAATCGATTTCTAGAGAGGAATTAAAATGATTACAGATTTTCTTTCTTTTTGGCCTAGCGCCTAGCGTTTAGCCAGAAAATGGACTTTTATGTTTTCACTAAAAAAATCGATTTTTGATGCTAAATGACAGTGATCACAGATTTTCTTTCTTTTTGTCCTAGCGCCTCTAGTTTAGCCAAAAAATGGACATTTATGTTTTCACTCAAAAAATCGATTTTTAGTGGGAAATTAAAATGATCACAGATTTTATTTCTTTTTGGCCTAGCGCCTCTAGTTTAGCCAGAAAATAGACTTTTATGTTTTCGCTCAAAAAATCTATTTTTGATGCTAAATGACAGTGATCACAGATTTTCTTTCTTTTTGGCCTAGCGCCTCTAGTTTAGCCAGAAAATGGACTTTTATATTTTCAATCAAAAAATCAATTTTTCGTGGGAAATTAAAATGATCACAGATTTTCTTTCTTTTTGGCCTAGCGCCTCTAGTTTATCCAGAAAATGGACTTTTATGTTTTCACCCATAAAATTGATTTTTTTGAGAAATTAAAGTGATCACAGATTATCTTTCTTTTTGGCCCAGCGCCTCTAGTTTAGCCAGAAAATGGACTTTTATGTTTTCACTCAAAAAATCGATTTTTCGTGGGAAATTAAAATGATCACAGATTTTCTTTCTTTTTGGCCTAGCGCCTCTAGTTTAGCCAGAAAATAGACTTTTATGTTTTCACTCAAAAAACCAATTTTTTTTGAGAAATTAAAGTGATTACAGATTTTCTTTCTTTTTGGCCTAGCGCCTCTAGTTTAGCCAGAAAATAGATTTTTATGTTTTCACTCAAAAAATCGATTTTTAGTGGGAAATTAAAGTGATCACAGATTTTCTTTCTTTTTGGCCTAGCGCCTCTAGTTTAGCCAGAAAATGGACTTTTATGTTTTCACCCATAAAATTGATTTTTTTGTGAAATTAAAGTGATCACAGATTTTCTTTATTTTTGGCCTAGCGCCTCTAGTTTAGCCAGAAAATGGACTTTTATGTTTTCACCCAAAAAATTGATTTTTTTGAGAAATTAAAGTGATCACAGATTTTCTTTCTTTTTGGCCTAACGCCTCTAGTTTAGCCAGAAAATAAACTTTTATGTTTTCGATTTTTTTTGAGAAATTCAAGTGATCACAGATTTTCTTTCTTTTTGGCCTAGCGCCTCTAGTTTATCCAGAAAATGGATTTTTATGTTTTCACTCAAAAAATCGATTTTTAGTGGGAAATTAAAATGATCACAGATTTTCTTTCTTTTTGGCCTAGTACCTCTAGTTTAGACAGAAAATGGACTTTTGTGTTTTCACCCAAAAAATTGATTTTTAGTGTGAAATTAAAATGATCACAGATTTTCTTTCTTTTTGGCCTAGCGCCTCTAGTTTAGCCAGAAAATGGATTTTTATGTTTTCACTCAAAAAATCGATTTTTTTTGAGAAATTAAAGTGATCACAGATTTTCTTTCTTTTTGGCCTAGCGCCTCTAGTTTAGCCAGAAAATGGACTTTTATGTTTTCACTCAAAAAATCGATTTTTAGTGGGAAATTAAAATGATCACAGATTTTCTTTCTTTTTGGCCTAGCGCCTCTAGTTTAGCCAGAAAATGGACTTTTATGTTTTCACTCAAAAAATCGATTTTTAGTGGGAAATTAAAATGATCACAGATTTTCTTTCTTTTTGGCCTAGCGCCTCTAGTTTAGCCAGAAAATAGACTTTTATGTTTTCACTCAAAAAATCGATTTTTCGTGGGAAATTAAAATGATCACAGATTTTATTTCTTTTTGGCCTAGCGCCTCTAGTTTAGCCAGAAAATAGACTTTTATGTTTTCACTCAAAAAATCGATTTTTTTTTGAGAAATTAAAGTGATCACAGATTTTCTTTCTTTTTGGCCTAGCGCCTCTAGTTTAGCCAGAAAATGGATTTTTATGTTTTCACTAAAAAAATCGATTTTTAGTGGGAAATTAAAGTGATCACAGATTTTTTCTTTTTGGCATAGCGCCTCTAGTTTAGCCAGAAAATGGACTTTTATGTTTTCACCCAAAAAATTGATTTTTTTGAGAAATTAAAGTGATCAGAGATTTTCTTTCTTTTTGGCCTAGCGCCTCTAGTTTAGCCAGAAAATGGATTTTTTGTTTTCACTCAAAAAATCGATTTTTAGTGGGAAATTAAAATGATCACAGATTTTCTTTCTTTTTGGCCTAGCGCCTCTAGTTTAGCCAGAAAATAGATTTTTATGTTTTCACTCAAAAAATCGATTTTTAGTGGGAAATTAAAGTGATCACAGATTTTCTTTCTTTTTGGCCTAGCGCCTCTAGTTTAGCCAGAAAATAGACTTTTATGTTTTCACTCAAAAAATCGATTTTTAGTGGGAAATTAAAATGATCACAGATTTTCTTGGATTGGATGGATTTTTATGTTTTCACTCAAAAAATCGATTTTTTTTTTGAGAAATTAAAGTGATCACAGATTTTCTTTCTTTTTGGCCTAGCGCCTCTAGTTTAGCCAGAAAATGGATTTTTATGTTTGCACTAAAAAAATCGATTTTTAGTGGAAAATTAAAGTGATCACAGATTTTCTTTCTTTTTGGCATAGCGCCTCTAGTTTAGCCAGAAAATGGACTTTTATGTTTTCACCCATAAAATTGATTTTTTTGAGAAATTAAAGTGATCACAGATTTTCTTTCTTTTTGGCCTAGCGCCTCTAGTTTAGCCAGAAAATGGACTTTTATGTTTTCACCCATAAAATTGATTTTTTTGAGAAATTAAAGTGATCACAGATTTTCTTTCTTTTTGGCCTAGCGCCTCTAGTTTAGCCAGAAAATAGACTTTTATGTTTTCACTCAAAAAATCGATTTTTTTTGAGAAATTAAAGTGATTACAGATTTTCTTTCTTTTTGGCCTAGCGCCTCTAGTTTAGCCAGAAAATAGATTTTTATGTTTTCACTCAAAAAATCGATTTTTAGTGTGAAATTCAAATGATCACAGATTTTCTTTCTTTTTGGCCTAGCGCCTCTAGTTTAGCCAGAAAATGGACTTTTATGTTTTCACTCAAAAAATAGATTTTTAGTGGGAAATTAAAATGATCACAGATTTTCTTTCTTTTTGGCCTAGCGCCTCTAGTTTAGCCAGAAAATAGACTTTTATGTTTTCACACAAAAAATCGATTTTTAGTGGGAAATTAAAATGATCACAGATTTTCTTGGATGGGATGGATTTTTATGTTTTCACTCAAAAAATCGAATTTTTTTTTGAGAAATTAAAGTGATCACAGATTTTCTTTCTTTTTGGCCTAGCGCCTCTAATTTAGCCAGAAAATGGATTTTTATGTTTCCACTCAAAAAATCGATTTTTTTTTGAGAAATTAAAGTGAGTACAGATTTTCTTTCTTTTTGGCCTAGCGCCTCTAGTTTAGCCAGAAAATGGATTTTTATGTTTTCACTAAAAAAATCGATTTTTAGTGGGAAATTAAAGTGATCACAGATTTTCTTTCTTTTTGGCCTAGCGCCTCTAGTTTAGCCAGAAAATGGACTTTTATGTTTTCACAAAAAAAATCGATTTTTTTTGATCACTTATTTTCTTTCCTTTTGGCCTAGCGCCTCTAGGCAGAAAATCGATTTTTAGTGGGAAATTAAAATGGTCTCAGATTTTCTTTTTGGCCTAGCGCCTCTAGTTTAGCCATAAAATAGACTTTTATGTTTTCACCACAAAAATCGATTTTTAGTGGGAAATTAAAATGATCACAGATTTTCTTTCTTTTTGCCCTAGTGCCTCTAGTTTAGTCAGAAAGTGGACTTTTATGTTTTCACTCAAAAAATCGATTTTTGATGCTAATAATAGTGATCACAGATTTTCTTTCTTTTTGCCCTAGCGCCTCTAGTTTAGCCAGAAAATGGACTTTTATGTTTTCGCTCAAAAAATCGATGATAGTGATCACAGCTTTTCTTTCTTTTTGCGCTAGTGCCTCTAGTTTATCCAGAAAATGGACTTTTATGTTTTCACTCAAAAAATCGATTTTTGATGGTGATCACAGATATATTTCATATTCATATTGCTTTTTCCAAATTCCTTCTAGATGATTACAATTACACCTTTGAAAATCCTTTCATTTGGTTTTATATCATATCGGCCATTTTTCAAACTTGCTACTGTTGCTGTTGGGATATTTTGCGAGATTTTGGTTTATTTCAAACATTTTCGGGAAAGAACATATTTCTGCGAGAGCAAATTGTCTATCGTCCAGGATTTTATTATTTTGCTATTGTGGAAAATATCATATTGCGTTTCTTTTGGGCTATATCTCTGTACCTGATAACACATAACTATATAAGCAGCTATAATATGGATTCTTTAGCGGGTTGTTTGGAAATCATCAGGTATTTATTATCTTTGTAGTTAATAAACAATAACATTAAGTCGAATGTTTACCATTAGACGTTATATTTGGAATTATGTACGTTTGGAGAATGAGCATTTATATAATGTGGGACAATTTCGTGCCGTGCGAGATATTTTCATAGCACCCATAGAAACCAAGAACTCCATGGAAATACAAAAAATGATGGATGAAAAGAATGGTGTGGTAAATCGTGGCTCCAAAAAAATTAGCAATATTTCTCTAACAGACGCAGAGGAAGAGTTGGAAGATTAGTAGAGTTTAAACATACAAAATATTTATATTTAATAATAAAAATATTTAAATTATTTACAATAACAATGAAAAAATGTTTATATTTATGAAATATTATCAGCTACTCCTGACACCAAAGCGGTGCCACGTAAAATCCAAAAATCAGCCGGCAGGGCGGATTCCAAAAGTATAGATAATATAAAATTTGATGAATGGCCTGTGGTAGATAAAACTCCCGATCTAGCTTGGGTTTTATAAAGTGGTGCCTCATAGCGTTCAGCAGCATCTAGTTTTAGGCAGGGTATAAAACGTATGGCTGGTAATCTGGAATATAAGATACCAACTTTAGCATCACATAAACCGCCCTCCGATTTGCGCCACTCTGCTGCCTCTACAAATATGCCATGAACATTTACGCCTGCTTCAGAGGACTCGGGCATATTGCCATATAAATCCTCAACCTTTAATTAAGACATATGTTTTAAGTAAATAATTTTTCTTCTATAAAGCTAAACTTACTGGTTGATTGTTGAGTCTTCTCTCGAAGAAAGTCTGCTGTATTAATATATTTTCCAGTACTTGAAAGTCTATCTTTAATTCATCGATTGGCAAGACCCGTTTACGAGCGTGTGTTTGCAATACACCGGTTAGAAATGATTGAGGAAAATAAAAACCACTTATCCAAAAGGATTTTGGATTACCGCTAACCGCCCAGTTTTGTATGAAATCTATACGTCTCTGAAAATCAGCTATATAACTGGGCAGTGGTTTAATGGAAAGAAAACTTTTCTTTTCCCACAATTTTGGTACCAAATTTGCCAATAGAGCTTGAAAAACTTCCTCTAATTCCTCAGACATTACCACTAAACCCTTAATGGCTTTGCGTAAATCAATGAGGCTGGTATGCACCAAACGCAGAGAATTATTATAACGATCAATTTCTTGAACCAAGACGGTGGTTAAGGAAGGCTGTTGACCTTTAGCATCAATCTGTTAGGAGTTTTATAAAGGAAATGTTGAATTTATTTTGATTAATAGTTTATTTATGTTATGAAATTGAATTAGAAATTTCTAAAATACAATTGGATATGGTGTAATGGCAAGTACCTTTAGTAAGTCCGGATGTAAATTTTCTTTATTAATTTTTTCCGCTAAAACTTCTTGTATTTTCGAAATTACCTCCAAGCATAAGTCATTCTCTTGAGCTTGACCCTCGTCGGCTGCTGATCTTGGCTGACCCACTAGCAGTGTATTAATAAAAAAATTTGTTTCTTTCGTTTGAAACACTAAATTGGCATTTTCATGCATGCCAAATATTTCCGGATCCTCTAAGGTAGGAAAATTTTGTACATATTCCTGATATTCTAGTATAGTATTTTTCCTAGGATCACGGTAATACGGATCTCCACGACAATATTTGTAATCAGGATCTAGTATTTTGTCAAATGTAAACATTTTTAATATCGTTCTCAAGCAACGCAAATCCCACGAATCGGTTACCCTACCGCCCCAAGTAATGTCACCATTGATATAGTAAATAGCTTCCCAAGGTATTTTTTGGGCCTTCTGGCGACCAATGAAAAAGTCTAGTATTTTAAGACCACATTCACGATCACTTTCATTAAACTCATACGTTATATTCCAGCCCAAGGCACCGAATTTGCGTCTTTCCAGCAGCACGGCATGGAATACACAAAGACCAAATACTATAGCACGCCATTTTTCTTGGAGCACATGCTGCTCAAAGTAGTCCACATTGATATCGGCTAAAGCACCCATAATATTCGCTTTAATACCTTTGGGCGGTTCATTTGTGACTTTAACCGAGTTTTGTAACACACTTATGGGAAAGCTTTTTTGTGGCATGGACGACAGAAAAAGGCGAAAGTTTTCATGGGCTTTGGTAACTCCCAAAGTTATGTTACGCACAATATTTTCCATTTGACCCATCCAAGAAGTGGCTAAATGGCAATTTTGCAAAAACACCCAATGACCTAAACGTAAACTCTTGTCTATTAAACTTTCGGCAACTGGCCCTTGTCCCTGACCCAATGAAATGGAATAAAATTTATCCATATATTTCATATCTTCGGCAAATCTAAGGAAATTTGCCATGGGATCAGAACCACTAGACAAGACAAAAATTAGGGGTGTTATGTTGGAAGTATCTAGGAAACTGTAAAAAGTAGTTATTAACTAATTGAAAATGTGAGATATAAACATTATAATTGTAAACTTACACAACTTTAAGTTGACTTCCGGCTGCTGAAACTTCGGTAAAATAGCGGCCTATGGTTGCCCTTAAATAAACCACCACATTCAACAAAAATCTTTCTCTTCTAAAAATTCGTATAAACATAAGTTTTTGGAAATTGTTAAGTCTATTATTCCAATAATCGCTGACCGTAGATGAGGACTCATTATCCGAGAATCTGAAAACCTCTCGATTATCATCAATTTCTAAGAAGAATGGCATATGCAATTTCTCCGAAAATCCTTTAAATGTTGCAAAATTTTCATCCAAAAACAAACAGGCCTCCCATTCGAAATCACTTAACTTAATATGCGTTGGCTTGGATTTCTCCCTTACAGAACCAACAACTCCTCGAGTTAAGAAATTAAACTCTTGCTGACTTACACGTCCTTCTTGTCTCTCTATAGCGAGTGATAAAAGAAAACTAAATATAATTTTATGATTTTCAAATAGTCCCCTCGAGACATTATCATAGATAGCCTTTAGTTCGTCCAATTTCAATTGTTCTATGCGCTCTTCTGTACTCATTTTAGGATGATCCAAACGTATAACGGCACAAAAGATCTGTAAGAAATATTTTAAGCTATATTGATACATGGGATCTATGTCAGCCAGGCTGGCAACTACAAAATATAGTATAGCTCCGCGAGAGGCTAAATTGCGATATTTTTCTCTAGTGGCGGTTATGACTTTTTCAGTTTCTTCAGTGTCCACTAAACGGGTGGCAATTATTAAGGAAGTTTCCTATAAAAATATACAAAATGGTGTAAAATATCTTTGCTTCACCGCTAACCAACCTTGGCATCATTAAGAGTTTCCACCAATTCCTCATCGTCCAAAATATTGCCCTTAGAATTGAATAAAAGCTTAAGAACCTTGTCTTCCAAAGCTAACAATTGCTGCTTATCAGTATTGATTTTAACAATTAAATCATTTCGTTGTATTTCTAAGGCGGGAAGTTCAATTGCTACAATATCGCTAAAGTAGTAAAATAAAATTCATAGAAAATATTAGTTTTTAACGATTTAAAGTGGATTTCTAGTAATATTAATATGTTTCACAATTGGGAAATTGCGAAAAGGTTTAAAATCTCGCTTAATTCTTAAGAAGTTAAATATTAATTTTCCTTTCGAAATTCCTCCACTGTATATCCATTTTAACTCCTATAGTTACTTACGATAACAGTTGATCTTCCAAACCACTTTCCGTAACCAAAAAGTTAACCAACGTCACATTAATGCATATTTCTGGCAAATAGTGTGGATTAGCCAATTTTGTTGTCATGTACAATTTGAAATGTTCATCATAATCGATTATAACATCGCCAAGTTTTAGATAAGTTCTACCCTCAAAGACATAAGTTTCACGCTGCAACACCGGTCTAATGGAGGGATCAATATTTTCACTTATATCTTCCAAAAGTATGGGATAACCCTGTCGTATACAATTCTCTATAATACGCAATAAATTTCCATCGGTCATTTTCAAAATGTGTAAATTATTATGTTTCTCCATATTTCGAATCCAACGATTGGCTTGTTCTTGGGGATCGATCATAAGAGGCCAGCGTAGGGCTCGTGTGGCATAGAGACCATTTTCTACGGAGATGTCATCTTTCGGTAGGCCGTCGACAGTCCATTGACGTATTTCATAAGCATCACCCAAAACTTTAAGTAAATGAAATTCACTACTAGAAGCAATTTTTTGTTCCCGGCACTTGTCCACCCATTGGGCGCACAGTTCATTGCGATATTCGGTGGAAAATGCTCCCATATAAGCTACACACGCAGCAGCTACTAGAACATCTCCTGGTACGCACTCAAGTTCCAGTGTTAAAGCCTTTTTGGATATTATATTATAATTTAAAGAATTTCTGCTTACTGGGTTTTAGAATTTCACTTACCTGAACCGTTTCTTTCCATCTTACTTCCTCATCTGATAAAGCTGACGTTAAACGTCCTGCTCTATTTATACGACCATAAGTTAGATCAACCGCATCTTGTATAACTTGAAATTCACGACTTTTCTGATCGATATTATCTTTAAGAGTCTGAATTTTTGCTTCTACAGAGGCCAATTCTTGCTGTTTGGTTCTTAGAATGGCCATTACTTCTTTAAGTTCGGATTCTGCAAGTTCTTTGCGTCTGATTTTGGGTTCCACTACTTTATATACTTTGGCAAACTTATCCATGGCTATGACCCATAAACTAACCGATTTCGCTACTTTTGAAACTTTTTCGAATTTCTAAGAGGGGTTTTTGGTAAAATTTTTAAATTTGTATAAATTTTCCATGTTTTCATAAATTACTTACAGCGGGCACAAAATCTTTGTGACTTATATATTTCTTAACTTTTTTCAAAGTCTCTTCTTTAATATGTTCTTTATCGAATTCAAAAAGTCTCTTTATAAAATTCACATCCGCCATAATACCCTTAGCAGAAGCCCAGGTTGGTCTGTAAAAAATTGAAAATTTATACTTTATAGTTAAATTAAGGAAATAGAAGAAATCTTACTTAGCTCCCAATAGTATGCAAACAGCTTCCATAACAAATTGCACTAAAGCTGGTGGTGTGGTAAAAGATTTCAACTCATTTATGTCAGCCTTGGTTAAACCTTTTAGGGCATCTTCCGCTTCTTTCAAAGCGGGCATAGCAATTTCTAAATCTTTATTGGCATCATCGGACATGGCTTGACATATACCCGCCTTTTCTTTGGCATTAGCCTCATCGCGCATAACACTCTCTTTGACCTGATCGGCCAGTTTAGTATCGACAGCTAATCTTTCCAATAAAGACTTCATATTGGCCGATTTTTCATCCAGTTGTGGAACCATGACCTCCAGTTCTTTTTGCATGACAGTTATCTTGAAAATTAAGGTGAAATAATTTTTTTAATTGAATTTGGTTTCCATTTTTAAGAGAAAACTTACTATATCATTGGTCTCCAATATCTTATTTAAACCATTTAAAATTCTTTTGCGTTTATTTTTAATCTCTTCACTTTTATTTTTCAATAAACTTTGATATAGTTTTAAAAGTTCCAAATAGCTACTGGGCGTAGTGTAATAATGACGTTTCATTTCTTTGTAAAAACGTTCTGAAGCCTCTTCCACGGTCTTTATTAATAAGGGAAAGAAAGAATGAATTATTATTTAAAAGTCAAAATCCAGAGACCAAAGTATAACTATTCAGATGGCAGAGCGCTAAATCACATTATGTTTTCCAGATATCATGTCATATAGATTGAAAAAGAGTCTAATCTTTTTACTTTAAAATAAATATCTAAACCTAATGTTAAGAATAACTATAATTTCAAATTGTGAGGCCTTCTGAAAGTTATACTTTGGTCTATGGGTTTAAAATATGTTGGCCCAGTCCTCTAAATTTGAATTAAAAACTTCTCTCCTTAAATGTTAAACATTTTTATCTCAATACCTTATGTATGAACACAGTTGTTGTGGCCAAAGCTTGACATTGTTGTGGCGTTGAAGTGGTTTTCGTTAATAGTCCCAAAGCTACTGAATATAAAGCTTCCGTGGGCCAATTGGAAAACCAATCTATGGTGGTACAGTTCACCAGCGAAGGAAACATGCGACATCTGCGACGAAATGCATCACCTACTGGCGACATGGATAGTACCACATGCAAATTATTACGCACTCGATTTATAAAGAATTTATAGATGTCATCGCGACTACAACCCTGAAATATTTTAAATTTATTTTAACAAAATATTTAACTAGATTACTCATGTTTAAATTTACATCTTTCATTGCGGCATTACAGGGTTCACGGGCATCCAATATTATCTTTTCATAATCATCGCCTTCGAATAGATTAGGTACTTCACCGGAATTTAAGAGATTATTAATGTCTTCCAAAAATTCCTCTTCAACAATTTGTGTATCGATCATAAGAAAAACTACTGGGGTATTATCAATCTGAAATTAAATAAAATACTTTAGTTCGCTCATGGCAAAACATTTTTGATAGTTTTCTTAATACTTACGCCCGCATGTCGATAAATATTTCTTAAATCCTCATGAAAACCATTAATATCATAATTACGCTTTAGTTCAATTTGCATACATTTATACTCATTAACATGAGCTGCCAATTTCGTCAATGACTGCTTACCCATACCTGCCACGCCTACCAATAAACCATTACCACGATCACTCCTCAACAAACGTGCCAATCTAACGGTATGTTCTAAAGCATCTTGGAATAATATCAGATTCATTCTCTTTCCTGTCATTGAATTATAATCCTCAACATAATCCATTAAAATACTTTCCAATTTGGCGGGATCTTTAATCTCTTCATAAACACGATCAGCTTTGGGTTTACCAAAAACCATGAAATCACCATATAATATGGGAGGTTCTTCGTCCCTATAGACCTCTTTGTTAAAATGTTTCAGACACACCTCACGCATAATAGTTTTAAAGGAATTTTTGTCATCGTCATTAATCAAACGATCGTGAAAGACTCTTGTTGTTTCGTGATAGAATAAACGCAAAATTTGCATTTCCATGTTGTAGTGCAGACTGCTGGCCTGTAAAATGCCCTGTATGCATTTGGAAAGATCTCTTAAATTAAATATATAATGTGACTTATCCGGCGTGGGTAACATTTCCTTGGCTATGCGCATATAAACATCAACACAGGCATTGACAATGGGCGTAGAAAGTGGGCGTATAACCGAAGAGAATTCACTTAAAAATCTGTTATTTAGGCTAGATGTTAAAAAAAGTTAATTTAAATAAAACTTTAATAATTTACCCCGTTAAAATGCCATCGAAAATTGTGGTTAAAATTTCATCATTTGGTTTGGGCAGTGCGAGTAAAGCAAAATGTCTTACAAAACGTGGTGTTAAGGGATTTCTACCTCCACCCGGTGGTGCACAACCACAACCCAAAACTACATCTACAATTTCTTTCCAAAATAATTTCTCACGATCATAAAATCCCTTAAAATCTAAAAATTGTCTAAAAATAGTAGAAAATCTGTCAGAGTTATGATAACTTCCAAAGTTGTTAGATTTCTATTACCTTAATAGCTCAATGGCTGGTTGACTGCCATAAGTATCCAATTTGGGCATATTAACGTCGTCAATAAAGACTATAACAGTTTTTCCTATAGGAGCACCTAACTGATTACGTTTACGTTTCTCTAAAGGACCTTCTATCATTTCTTGGGTGCGTATGCTGCTAGTTTGGGCGGAGAAATTTATTTGCACCGGCACCACCGATTTCTGTAAAAGCTTTTTTAGAGTGGTAACAGCCAAAACTGTTTTACCCACGCCCGTGTCACCAGTGAACATTACTGGATATTTGCGTTGCAATAGTAATTCTGTAACATATCTGTTGATATAAAAATTTACAAATAATTCTTCATAAATCCCTGTATTCTGCCAAATTTTACGAAATTTACTCACCCATATTTGGTAGTGTCAACAGTAGGAACTTGCATATCGAAATATTTATCATCACGATTGAAAACAAACGTATCCACAATTGCAGACCAAGATTCCCAATTACGAGTTTGCATATTAATTCTGTAGTCCCAAAGACAACCTTCCTCAGGGAAACTAAAGTATAGAAATACATTTTCTTAAAACACATTTTAAACGATTTTTATAGAAACTTACTTTACATGCTCTTTCGTAGCCATGTGTTGCTTTAAAAACTGCTCAAAGACCAATTTCTCTTGATCACGAAAATTGGATGATTGAGACCAAAGAATACACCATATAAACATTTTATTTAGTAAAGTTTTATATTCATCTTCTTTGAAATCATGCCAATTTATTTGTTCTATTAAAGAAAACAATAATTCCAAACACAGACACACTTTGGAACAGGTTACTTGAGCTATAAGAAACGATCCATACTTTCTAGCCAAATCCAAAATAGTTTTAAAGTTTTCGGTGAATAAACTATATAAATATTTTAATTGTGCTTCCTGTATTTTCTTTGTAATGGGTCCTGATATCCATGAATCTAATAAAGGTACCCAGCCAAGATCATCGGGATCCACATAGACCATGCCACAACGTGATACGGTGGCTGGAGAGGCTTGTACCAGATCTTGAACTTCGAATACCATGTGTACCCAGGCAGTAAGTTTAATGCGTTCCGAATTGGCCAAACAAAGCATTTTATTATCGTCCAGCACTGTATTTAAGTTTTCAATCCAAACAGCATCTACCGGTCCATCGTTAACAATCCATTGATGAATTTCATCTAAAAGTTTTCAGAAAATGTTCGTAATGAATGAATGAAATAACTTTGTCATTTCGTTATACATTCGTGAGAAAGAAGTTTGTCATTTAAATATATTTTTCCGACCTATTAAGTATATATATTCCGTGTCCCTAAAGACAACCAAGTCGATTTAACCGTGTCTGTCTGTTCATATGTACATACATATCTTGAAGACCCCTGATATCAGTGTAATATTAATATAAATAGAAATTGTATTACGAACCAAAAGCTAACAGTAGCTCTCGTATATTTAGGTCCAATTCCGAAATGAACATAACCATATCGGTTCAAAATTTAATTGGCAAATGTTGTGTACATACACAAATTATCCAGTGAAATATTTTTCGGATCGATCCATAATTGGTCTAGCTATCATATTAAGTACACTTCCAAAATCACTTAATCGTATGTAACTCATCGGGATAAAGATGATTTTCTATATACAAATTATTCTGACATCGTTTTAAAATTATACACCAATATGTTTTGTATGTAAAAAATCATTCTGCGACCCCTTAACCGGATCCGTTTCAAAATTTATAAAATGTAAATTTCTATTATTATTCTGACTTATTTTCCTATTAACTTACCTTCTACATTAACTGCCGTTCTCACCGCCAAACCTAGCAGACCATCCTGCCATTCCAAAGTTTTAGGATTAACATAACCATATAGTTCATTCATTGATACCGCCTTGGGATTCATACATTGTATGGTAACCGGTCTAAAGTGAGGACCGGACACTTCAGTTTCATATAAATGTCCTAGAGCAAATTCTAAAGCATGCAATACCGTCGATTTACCACCTCCCGTAGGACCCACCAACATTACACCCCATCTTACGCACATGGTCTCATAAAGTTGTATACATTTGCGTAAAGTGGCATTAACAGGTTGCAAATTCTTTTGCGCCAAACCCAATACAATACTTTCTTGTAGTTGAGGATGTGAGGAATCGGGTAAGTCGACTCCCGGAAACAAATCACTAAGTATGCCCAAAAAGAGTATGGCATCATCTACTAAAAATTTCGGAATATTTGAGTCTTTAAGAGCAGCAATTAGTGTTATATCTTCCCTTTGATCGGGTGAGGCTCTTTTCAAAGCCCCTGCCATAATAAGCACCGATTTTACAGCACGCATGCCAAAATCATAATGATTTTGTTGGCTTAGTTGTTCGGAACAAAGTTTATACATTTGTACCATTTTTTGGGCTAAATTCTTGGGATCCTCAAAACCTTCCGAGTAGAGAATGACTTCAGCAATAAGAGCATAATCGGGTACCATCATAGATATAGGACGAAATAGAGCTTTCAAATTGTCGGGAAGTTCAGTACGGCCAGCATAGCCCGGATTCATGGTTATGAAAACAGCACAGGATTTATTGAGTTTTATTTCTCGTCCCTCGAAAATAAATCTTTTCGGAAAGTTAAAAATTTTGATATATTCCTATAAAGGAACATTAAACTTACCTTTTAGCATTGATAACTTTAGCATTTCTTATGGTTATTAGTTGTTGGGCTATAACCGACAGCACCTCAATGTCGATACGATTGAACTCATCGAAACAACACCATGCACCGCATTGGGCCAAGCCCGAGAAAAAGCGACCCATCATTTTGTAATCCAAACCATCAGAACAATTGAATACCACACATTGCTTAGCTACAGATTTTGCTAAATCTTTTGTTGTTTCAGTTTTACCCGTTCCCGCTGGACCAGCAGGAGCACCACCTAAATCCATTTGTATGGCACCCATTAGGCATAAATAACAACGATCGGTGAGAGGTGTCAAAACTAATACACCGCCAGCACCTAAATATTCGTAGTAATACGGTATGGTAGCCGAAGTCATTCGTGAATAAACGGTATCTGTTTCGGGTAACCAATAGAAACGTAACATTTTTAACCAATCAAAATCGGAACTGGAAATAAAAATTATTGTAAACGTACAGAAATTTCTTACAAATACCACCATACAACTTACGATTTTACAACATGTTTGTCAATCAGCATTCTTACAGAATCTTTAGCATGTACATCAATAGTAATCAATGCAGTCAAAACTTTCCTAACCAAACTTGTAATATTCTGCCTAGTTAAGGCCGCTAAGGCGGCCAGATTCTTCAAGCACTTCGTTTCGAATTGTTTCATTAGACCAACAATTTTATTTTCATCATTAAGAGGATTATCTAAAATCGCATGAATATCGCTGGCCCATTGCTGTTGAGAAATGGTTAAAGCCACTTGATTTGGATGATCTTGAAACCAGACATCACGTTCCTTATTCGGATAACATTGATAACCAAAACGCATGGCACGTTTGACCGAAGCAAACATGCCCTCCTCCACTTTACTTAACCATTCCTCCACTGCACCTCGAGCTTTTAAACCTTTCTGAAAGAATAGTTTTTCACCTTCGGGAGATATAAATGCCAAAATATCATTGGTGGGTATCATATGACCAGTACCATCATCCTTTTGACCGAATTCTAGACGATGTATGGCATCGAAACATTTGCGCAAATGTGGCTGTACAGCTTGTGGTATGCGTGTTTGTGCCAAAATTTCGAGAAGTTCTCCATTGGAGAGAAAATAAAATCTAGGAAATACTACTCTCTTGACTTCAAGATACGCCTCTAAACCTCGAGTTATTAAATCCAAAAGTCGATTATTTTCCTTAAGTATGTCATAATTATCTTTGGAAGACATTACCGGCAAAGCTAGGGAAACCTTTTTGGCTGTACGCAATAGTTCTTTAAAGCTTTTATCGACTACAAAAAACATTTTGGCCTCCTGAGGCAATTGCCTTTGTATATCTGGTGAGGCAAATATAGCCTCTAAATAAATCCAAGATGTTTGACAATCCATCCAGACCTCTGAAATGTATAAAGCAATCATAATTGTGAACTCTTTAAAATTGTTGTTCCTACACACCCAAAGTTTTTCCAAATTGTTCCAGCAACGATATCCATGTGTCAACCTTATTTTTAATAGGTGCCACATATTTCGAAGCAGCTATAGTATTTATATTAACATTTGAATCATCTAAAATGGTTTGTAATTCCTCGGTACCGGCCAAAATGAAGACATCCTTTTGATCATGATAAATGACAATGGAAAGTTCTTGTTCCTTCCAAACACCTTCAATACTTTTCAACATATTCTCAAGTTGTGCTTCACCAGTGGCTTGTGAAGATATTTCCATTAAAGAATTGGCTATATCTTCATCAAAAGCATGCTGTTCCTCGTAAGTTGATAAAAATATATTTTCTTCTTGAAAGAATTTTCGACCCAACACGGTTTCGATATCGGTCCAGTGACGCTATGGAAAATTAAGTTAATTTTTATTTTCTATAAATATAACTCGCCCTTTATAAATACCGCTCTAAAGTTATTATTCCTAAGATAGCCAATTACTGGTAATTTCAATTTGAAATCTTCTGCAGCTTGTTTTAGTTCGGGTAGTATATTATTGGCTGGTAGATATTTTTCAAATTGCATGCAATTCTTAATTGTTTTTATAGTTAAATCCACCATTTCATTGACAACCAACTTATTGAATTCTAAAGTAGTCCAACGTTTATAGGCTTCTTCCCATTCTTCTACAGAGTTATGGAGATTTTGACGTAAACGTATTTCGGTAAATGTTTGATCCATTTCGGTGTACATGGTAATGTCAATCTAAAAACGGTTTAATTCTGTATTATTTCAAATTATCCTTAAAAATAGCTTTTCATGTGAAAAATATACAATCGGTAGTTTAGTTTTTCTTCATTTTTATGCCGATATCATTATTAATTCATGAGTTATTTTCAGAAAAGGGCTTCATATGGGAGCTATGACTAAATATGAGCCGATCCAGAAAAAAGTTTTCACAATGACGGAAGTGGGCTTTATGAAGCTAACATGGATATTCTAGAGAGCGATAATAACAATAAATCCCTTTTCCGGGAATATATGTAAATTTGTATGGGAGCTATATGAAATTTTGAAACGATTCTTATAAGGTTCAACCATGATAATAATTGCAAGAAAGAACAGACTTCTGACAAATTTGTAAAAATAGAATGAGAAAAAACGTAATATTTTCATGAGTTGTTTCGGAATTTTGCTCATATACCGATTATTTATGAACCGATTTTGCATGATGAAGCATGTCTGATAGAATTATTGAATATTCGGATAACATATCTGGGGTCTTCATAAAACTGGTTTCAACATACATACGAAGTAAATCGACTCCACTAAAGTATAAAACAATTACCTTAAACTCCTTCTGATATCCTATAAATTCAGCAGCACGTTCATGTAAGTTTTGCAAACGTTCCAGAAGACCATTTAATTTCGATTTTACAAATTGACGATTAGAATTTTTCTAAAATTTTATAAAAATTAAAATGCTAATAATTGCTATACCGCTTTAAGACTTTCTCACATACATCTAAAAGACTTGAGTCCTGTGTTTCCAAATAAACCTCATGTGTTTCTTCAAATATCTGTTGTATATCCTTGTTCATGATCTCCTCTAATTGCTTAATAAACTGATCTTTTTTAGCTTGTACTTCTTTTAATTTATCATTTGTACGATTAACAAAATCTTCACAATCCATATAATCCTCTTTACGTTCATCATCGATGGGTATGGCATAATCTTTGATGATAATAAAGACATCATGGGCATAGTCAACTTCTTTGAAAAGTACTTCCATTTCAGCATCAACAACATCGAGATATCTTATATGAGCCACTAACTCTAGTGAAGTTAGAGGTTCAGCTAAAATGCGGGCAGATAGTTCGCGAGTTTCTTCGGATATGCGTTCTATTTGATCTGTAGCCAATCTGTGAATGAAATAATTTTATAAATGTCCCTAAAATTTGTTAAGAATTTAATATTGTTGTTATATACTTGGGCAAATAGGTGGCTAGGACATTTTGCAATTTAACACAGACCGGTGTAACGGTTTCCTTAAAGCTTCCCTGGGTTAGTTTTAATAAACCCAGATTTACATTGGTTAATATACCATCTAAGGCTTTTACATTATTGCAGTAACGTTCACAATAGGCTCTTAATACCGTAAGATCTGAAAATTTTAATTCAAAACTTTATTTAAGGATTTGTTTACTCTCTCTCTCTCTTTTCACTTTTAACCAACCTTTCTCATTTTTAATAGTATTCGGATCGGTATGTGTATCCACTTCATAATTGGTACGTATGGTTTCAAATCGTAAAGTGTATATTTTAGCCTTTTCATAGGCCAATCTTATAAAGGTGTAAATTATTTTTCTAAAATAAAATATTGTTGAAAATAGGTATTTTGTGTTGATTAAAAAAAAAACATACCGATTAAATTGAAATTCTTTATCGGTTCTAAGAAGAAAACTTAAATCTGGCGCTACACCAGCTAATCTCTCCTCTTGACGTCCCATTATAGAGGGTCTTGAAATATAAAATGTTAATTACTAATTTGTTATAATATTTTTATATTTGTCTTTCACTTACTCCGTAAATTGGAAATAAATTTTATCATCGGTGAAATTTTCTATCTCAGTCACGGTTTCCAATATTAAAGTCGATATGCGGTTAAAAATGTGCTTCATGGCATCTCTATAGGTTAAAAACATAGGAAATATTTTTATTATAAAATTTATTTAATGAAAATTTATTTTGCAATGCAAATATAAATATATCATATGATCGATCATAAATTTTCATTATTTTTCCTATAGGACTTACATTTTAGGAACTACAGCCGATCAACTATTTGATATGAAATACTTACTCAGATGGTTCAATTTCAATACGATCTGGTAGTAAATGAAAATCCGCTATAAAAAATGGATTCTGTGAGAAAAATTTAATTATTAATAACGATTTTTAAAAGTAGATTAATACATGTACTACTAACCTGAGGTGAATTTTCAGGTCGTGCTGGCTCTAATTGCTCGTGCAAAGTTAAATTTTCATTTAAAATTTTTAGGCTAGGACCTAAGGCATCATGGATTTTCATAGCTTCAACTAAGTCGCGAAAACTGTTGGCAGTAATTTGATGGAATAAGTGATACATCATGTGATCACAGTAGCTAAGGAAGCTGAGAAATAGCAATACTTTTAATAATATTCAATTATATATTTTTCAAGCCCATAATTACTTGGAGAGGATTTTGCAAAAGTTACGCTTTTTAGCCCGATCCATAAAACTCATAGCATCGCGCATTTTCTTAACGGAGGGATAGTAATTGATCTCATCATTGGGAAAGAAACCACGATCGATTATAGCCTTAAGGCAGGCATCATCTGATTATAGATTTAATTTTTTTTTATTAAATTAAAGTATAAAACGATCGAGCAATTCAAAACTTACACAATATTTGTTTCATACGCTCCCGAAAGTCTCTTAATGTAACGGTTAAACTTTCATAGATTTTCATTTGGACTTCCAGAAAATAGAATGGATGCCATTCCTCGATAACTAATAAATTTAAAAGTTTGAAAATTAAATCGTAAAAAATCGCAATAACATTTTACCTCCCACATTAATAAAATTGCTCTTTTCCAAAAACACAATTTCACTACGTAACTTAAGAATGGCCTTGGCCAAGTGAGGTATGGCTATAAAAAGTCGTTCTTGTAGATTCTGGCGAGCTTGATTTTGCTTCTTCCATTTCACGGTTTTTTCCCACACTTTAAATCCTTTCCATATGCGAAAAACAGCAAATGTTCGTATTTTTATAATACTCAAGAATTGTTGAAATTCTTGTTGCCACTGCAACAGAGGAGTGAAGAAATTCTCCGACAAATGCCAATAGGTTACACCATGACGACTCATAGTAAAGTATAACAATTTATTGGGTAAATTATCCCATGTATACTCTTGCAGACTGTAGGGTGTAAAATATTCGCTTGTCTTCGGCAGCATATAAGTCAAATAAATAAAACGATCATCGGGCATATTACGCATACGTTCCACTGTTACATTCAAATCGGGTATTAATGAGGCTCCGGTTTTAATACCATGTGAACTTCCTGCTTCTGAAGTAGATTTTTCACCTTTTATCCTTTTAACTTGAACTTTTTTACTAAATTCAACTGTGGTTCTTTTGGGTAAAATACGGCCACTAGGATTCATTATATCCAATATTTTAGCTCTTGAATTCAATTTTTCGTCCGAGAAGCGGCGTGACATTTTTCCAGCTTTGAAAGTTTTTTGGGAAAATTTTCTATTATTCAAATAATTTATTTACAAAATTGATTAGAATTTTCTATAGCAACGAAGTTATAGTCAATTTCATTGAGGCAAAGTATTTTGAAACCTGTAGAATGAATATTTGAATCAAAACATGTGGTTGTTTTGATTACCTATTACTGACTCATAAAATGAAAGGGAAAGTGGTTGTTTTTTTAAATAAATTTGAAGCCTGTTGATTTATTTACGAGTGCCCTACAGAATTATATAAGGATTTGTTGTTCATCGTTTCCAAATTTCTTATGAAAAATTGATTTTTGATTGAAATAAATATAAAATAATTGTATACGGTAATAGAGCTAAAAAACCTTGATAAGAAACGATTTTTATGGGAATATTCATTAGGACGTATATTTATAAACTACAACCGATTACAATCGATTTCAATATTTTTCGATTTTTTTAGGTTTTTTTATATATAAACGGATTTTTGATAAAACATGTCATAAAATACTTTTTGTAATGGAAATTGGTATGATTGCGTTTTTGGGCGGTTAATACCTGTCAAACGAAGCGTTTTATTGTCTAAATATCGTGAAAAGTAGTTGTATAACGAGAAAAATAAATAAAATAGTATTACGAATACAAAAATTTCCTACTCTGGCAGACAAACCAGAATTGTAAAATATTTGATTCAAAATCCCACTTTTTAATCTCTCGGATTCCGTTTTTAATTATTTAAAATCGTTGTAAATTTAAAAATAACTGAAAACTTAGCCGTTTTGCAGTCGATTTTATACCGCCGACGAAATTTTTAGTGTAACACACCGACGCCGTTAATAATTGTCGGCGCTGGGCTTTGCCAGCTGTTGCTTTTGTTTGATTTTTGTTAGAAATTGTTTTGCAAACAAAATAAATATTTTCCACTAAATACTATGGAACAAGAAATACCATTTTCCCAACTATTGGAAAAAGCCGAAGAGAAAATTTTATTAGGAAATGAGCTAATCAAACATTTGGAAGACTTCAGCGAAATACCAGGTGTACAAAAGGTGCAAAGAAAGATTTACCAGGAAATAAAATTCTTGCAAAAGGTATGATGCATGAGTGCGCATAATAATTATATTTTTGAAATTGAAACACGTCTATTTTATTTAATTATACAGGTCATTAAGAATCAAACTTTAAAAATAAATCACGTACAATGTAGTAATTTAACACACTATGAGTTCCTGGTGAAAATTTTAAAGCTGCAACGAGATGTGGTACATGTTGACTGTGGTTTCCCGGTCGATTATCGAGAAAATCCCTTAAGAGTTGATATTGTATGTGAAAATGGCCTGAAGTGGATTAAAGCAATTGCCCGCAACTCTAAATCTTTAACAGATGCTGCCCGGGGTGAGGCTAGTTATGGTGCGAGAAGTATAATAGATCAGGCTCAAGAATTTGTTGAAGCAGCTTCTCAAAATTTATGTATGTTTAAGTGTCCTAAGGTAAGGTGTTCTGTATATTAATTGATTATATGATAATTTATGATTTACACTGTTTGTTTATTACAGGTGGTTTTTTATTTTAGTCAAACTATAGAAAATGAACTTTTAACCATTTTACAAGAGGAGGGTGTAGAAATAGCTTCTTTAGAACAACCTTCTGAAGTGGTAAACGGTTCAGATCTCATTAATGTTAGTACTTTAAATTTGGATATCACTACATTGCTGGCTTACATCAGTAATGTCTGCAATGGCGGCTGTAACTGGATATTCCATGAACCTATTTTAACTGAACAAGCCGAAAAGGAAAGAGACTGTCCTCTGAAACCTATCTTGGATAAACTCTTTATGGGTATATTTTACATAATATGGATTTTAAAAGTTGTTATTAAAAATCAATACATTGCTTTTAGATAAACGTCTCATTTGCTGTGCCACAGCTTATAAATCATTTCAAGATATCGTCTCCCTACTGGGTGGACCCAAGGAAAAAGAACGTGCCCAGGAACTTGCAAAACGTATAGAAATATTACCAGATGTTGCAACAATACCAGAAGAACTAGCGACCATTAAATATAGCGGTAAAATCAATGAAAGAAGTTTATTAATCTTTGCTTTTGGCATGCATATGAAAGCGGTAACTGTGACTTCAAATAAAGCTTTTGTGCGTTCAGCTAAAATGCAGGTTAGTATCACTTGTATTTAATTATTATTTGTTTAAATAAAACTAAAATACACCAAAAATTAAAAAGGGTATAAATGTGCCTGTTTTTACACACCAAGCGCGAGCCTTAACAGAAGCTAAAGAGGAAACTGCCACACCAGTGTAAAGTACTGACATACCCATAGAAAAAATGACTGCAATAAAATAAATAAAATTAAACTGTAAATTATTATTAAAATATTAAATTGTTATTTACGTTATCGAGTTTTTAAGTCATATGTTCCAATTCTTCTTTGTTTTCATTGTAAACGGTTTGTAATAGTGTAAAATAACTCATAGAAGTACTCAAAATGGCGGTAAAAGATTGCAATGATAAGGTGGAGAATTTTAAAGCGGTAATTTTCACTGGTCTTTGGCTGCACATAATCATGATTTCCAAATTTTGTCGAAATTGTTTATTGGCCGGTATAAAGTGTATATTATGCAAATCATTTCTTAGGTTTTGTTGTTTTAAACTTTTACTTAAAGTATTGTTAGAATTTTTAAGATTTTCTTTAGCCATTTGATATTGTGTAATGGCAGAGGTTAAATACACATTTTCACCTTCCCAATTGCAATTATATAAATGTTGAGCAGTTTCGGTGGACTAGGAAAATATATTAAATATAATAAATCGGATTTTTATTATTAAGACAACTTACATGTTGTATTAAGGAGTCACCATTCCAGCATAAAACATATAATTGTGAGAGGGAAGAGGAAATGTATACCAAAAACTTGACATAGTCCCCAATAAACATGTCTTTGCCCGTTACCAATTGAAAACCCACCATACATATTAATATGGAGGAAATGGTAAAATTTACCAATAAAATGGGATTGAAAAAATTTTCCAAACGATTGGCAAATCTAGAAAATATATATATTAAACTAAATTGGATGAATAATTTTTTATTTAGTTTTATACAACTTACTCTATCAATTTATTATGATCATAGGCAATTCTATTTAACAGTCTTATATACAACCTTTGTATTTCCTGGTCATCTTGTCTATTGCGGGCCATAAAATAAGCATCTATCACTAAGTTGTCTATACGTTCATGTAGAATTTTAAATTTACCGCAGGTGTACGTTATAAAGAAACCAAATATTGAGTCTTCGGCAAAAAGGGTAGTCACCACACATATTCCCGCAAATGAAGTGAATATATAGGTGGCCACATAACGCCAACCACGATGAGCATTATAAGGAAATAACATTTTATAGGGAAATGGTTTTTCTTCGGCATCTAAGCCCACATCAAAGAATAATATAACAAGTGGTAAAACACAATACATGGCAATCAAACAACTTAGTAAAACAGTCATTATGCGAAAAGTACGCATGTTACGGGAACATTCAGCTGCTACATGAGGATTATCTTTTCTAAAAGCAAATATTAACTATTTTTAAAACACAGTATTCCAAACTTAATACTTACTTAATAATCCATATATCATCCACAAACTGTTGTATGATCTCCCTAAAAGATCTTTGATTGAGACGCATATGTAGTAAGCGTATAAAATTCAAGGCCCCCATAAATGTGGTGCAACAATTTTCGGTAGTCATCATAATATCACTTAAATTATTAACCAAAAAAGCCGTTTGAAAGCCTATAGTTAGGCCCACCGAACATATAATATACCACGACCACAACGAATATAATATCCCATACAAGGTATGTGCATTATAAAAATCTCGTTCAGTTTCATAATCAAAAGGCCAAGAACCATTCATTTTTAACCAAATACACTGACGTGGTATACGATATTTAGGATCTCCTTTTGGTTTAGGATTAAACATTTCCGTTTTCTTTGTTTACACCAATTGTATAGTTCTATTTTAACTTCTCCTTTGGTTTGTGGTATTTATATAGATTTTGGTTTTTTGTTTTAAGTCTTAAATCAATGTGATTATTGTGGGTAAACATTATTAAAAATTCTTTTTGTTTTTGTCTAGCTGAATAGGAAAATATTTTGATTGTTTTTAAATACAATTACAATCTTTACAGGTATGAAGAAAATATAAAGTCTTTTGCTAAAGAGAATTGTTAATTAAAAGGGGTTTATTTATTTGTAGTTTAATTAAAGGCTTTTGAGTTTTTTATGAAATTAGGTGCATAATTATGTTTAAGTAAAAAATATTATTATTAAATACTCTAAACAAAAAATTGTTGAATTCCTCTTTTCTTTAGAGACTTTTGTCTAAACTAAAGACTAGACTAGAATATAGAGTAGACTATTGACTACGATATATACTATAGACTGTAGACTAAACTACAGACTAGACTGTAGTCTACACTATAGACTAGACTATAGAGTAGACTCTAGACCAGACTAGACTATAGACTAGAATATAGAGTAGACTATTGACTACGATATATACTATAGACTAGACTGTAGACTAAATTAAAGACTAGAATATAGACTAGACTATTGACTACACTATAGACTAGACTATTGACTACAACTTAGACTAGACTATAGACTACACTATAGACTATACTACATATATATTAAACTAAAGACTACACTATAGACCAGACTATAGACTAGACTACAGACTACACTATAGACCAGACAATAAACTAGACCATAGACTAGGCTATAGATTAGACTATAGCGTACACTATACATAAGACTATAGACTAGACTATAGCGTACACTACACATAAGACTATAGACTAGACTTTAGACTAGACTATAGACTAGACTATAGACCAGACTATAGACTAGACTATAGACTAGACTATAGACTAGACTATAGACTAGATTATAGACTAGATTATAGACTAGATTATAGACTAGACTATAGACTAGACTATAGACTAGACTATAGACTAGACTATAGACTAGACTATAGACTAGACTATAGACTAGACTATATACTAGACTATAGACTAGACTATAGACTAGACTATATACTAGACTATAGACTAGACTATATACTAGACTATATACTAGACTATAGACTAGACCTATAGACTAGACTATAGACTAGACTATAGACTAGACTATAGACTAGACTATAGACTAGACTATAGTCTAGTCTATAGACTAGACTATAGACTAGACTATAGACTAGACTATAGACTAGACTATAGACTAGACTATAGACTAGACTATAGACTAGACTATAGACTAGACTATAGACTAGACTATAGACTAGACTATAGACTAGACTATAGACTAGACTATAGACTAGACTATAGACTAGACTATAGACTAGACTATAGACTAGACTATAGACTAGACTATAGACTAGACTATAGACTAGACTATAGACTAGACTATAGACTAGACTATAGACTAGACTATAGACTAGACTATAGACTAGACTATAGACTAGACTATAGACTAGACTATAGACTAGACTATAGACTAGACTATAGACTAGACTATAGACTAGACTATAGACTAGACTATAGACTAGACTATAGACTAGACTATAGACTAAACTATAGACTAGACTATAGACTAGACTATAGACTAGACTATAGACTAGACTATAGACTAGGCTATAGACTAGACTATAGACTAGACTATAGACTAGACTATAGACTAGACTATAGACTAGACTATAGACTAGACTATAGACTAGACTATAGACTAGACTATAGACTAGACTATAGACTAGACTATAGACTAGACTATAGACTAGACTATAGACTAGACTATAGACAAGACTATAGACTAGACTATAGACTAGACTATAGACTAGACTATAGACTAGACTATAGACTAGACTATAGACTAGACTATAGACTAGACTATAGACTAGACTATAGACTAGACTATAGACTAGACTATAGACTACACTGTAGACTAGGTTGTAGACTAGATTATAGACTTGACTATAGACTAGATTATAGACTTGACTATAGACTAGACTGGTCCATTGACTACTATGTGAACTACTTAACGAAAGTTTATAAGAAAAAGTACCGAAAATGTCGTCGGGTACCGAGGTATTTTTCGATATCAAAAAGTACTAAATTGTTCATGTCTGTTCCTGACTTGCCGTGTTGCCGTTTGAATTTTCTATAGTGGGGTAACGTAACACATGAAACGCGGTTTAAAAAAAATAATTTTCTTTTATCTAATCCTTTTTGTAAAATAAACACCATTACTTTTTTTAATTTTTTTATATTATTTGTTTATTAAATATATATATTTGTTTTAATATTTAGTTTAGATAATTAAAATATAGTTTAACAAACTAATACAACTAAATTTTAACTAATCATTTATAGGTATATTATTTATAAATTAAATTTAAAACGAATTTATTATAGTACACACATTAAAAGTTAAATATATATATATTTTTTCTTAATGAAATAAAATGTATTTTTTTAAAAAATAAAAACAAACAACATAAAATAATTATACACAGACCCGAATTAGATATTAAAAAAATTTACATTTAAAATTGAAAAAATAAAAAAAAAAAAAAAACAAAAAGTAATAAAAAAATTATTGCCAATTAGTATTTAGTTTAAATATCTCATTTTCATTTGTTTAAATTTTTAAATTTTAATTTGAAATAGATGAAAATTCAAAAAAGATGATTTTTATACTATTATATACTCGTACTGCTTAATTATTATTAGGTTTTATTATTTAGTAATTACTATTACTATTATCATTATTATTAAGTTATTATTTTAATTAATATTATGTTTTATTATTATTATTATTATTTAATTATTATAATTATTGATAATAATATGAGTTTATGTCTTGTTTGGTTTTTTAAGAAGTTTTACGAAAAAGTATTTTTCCTTTTGTATGGATGTATGTTTTGTATGTAAGTTTTTCTTTTTTTTTTTACAAATTTCATGTTTATTCTTTGTTATCTGTTGGCTTTTGTTTTGTTTCCTTTTTTCACTTTTATTTTTTAATCAAGCAAATGTTTTTCTTATTATTTTTTTTCTTTTGTTTAAAGCAAATTTTATCTTAATTACTTGTTTTATTATTATTGTTATTATTACTATTTTACCATATTAACTGTATATAATTTTTGTTTGTTTTATTTTAGTTTTTTAAAGTGGCTAGTATTTTCTTGTGGTATTATTTTTCATTTTCCATTTATTATTTTTTGTTTTTATTATTTCTGTTTAAGTTTTACATCTTTTTAAAATCTTTTATTTAAAAAAAGATTAAAGTTTTATTTTGATTTTCATAAGTTTAAAATATCTAACAGATTTTCTTTTGTATTTGTTTGTTTGTTTTTTTTTTACTTCTTTATTTAACTTGTTTTAACAAAATTTTCGCTAATAAAATATAATTTGTTTATGTTTTCAATTTTTCTTTGTTTTGTGAAATAAAGATGTAGAAAATGTGAATTTGAAATGAAAAGAAATATTATGAAATCCAAATCCCCGCAAAAGTTTGACAATCGGTACTACATATATATCCCTTGAAACGGTCTGGAAAGAAGACAACTCTATTATAATTATTTTCTTCGAAAATTTGTAGCAACTTTTCTATAGTTCAGCCTATGATCTAGTCTATAGTCAAGTCTATAGTCCAATCTATAGTCTAGTCTATAGTCTAGTCTATAGTCTAGTCTATAGTCTAGTCTATAGTCTAGTCTATAGTCTAGTCTATAGTCTAGTCTATAGTCTAGTCTATAGTCTAGTCTATAGTCTATAGTCTAGTCTATAGTCTAGTCTATAGTCTAGTCTATAGTCTAGTCTATAGTCTATAGTCTAGTCTATAGTCTAGTCCAACGGTTCCCAAAAGGGGGTCCGCGGACCCCTAGTGGTCCGTAGCAAAATCCTAGGGGGTCCGCGAAGACGAACGAAAAAAATCATGAATAAAAAATATTCTCTATATGTTACAAAATATTAAAAATATCTCCAAATTTTTCATAAATACTAAAATACACAATTTTTATTCAATAATCCCAGATTTGTTGGTGACTCTTTGAATTTTATTGTTTCGGTCGTTTATCAGGATGAAGCTAGGCGCTACAAATTTATTGTTTCACTTTTATAAAGTAAAGTATTACGTGATTTGTAATTTTTATAAATATAAATGTTTTTATAGCAGACGGATAATGATTTGCCTTAGAATTAAATACTGATACTAGTATCCCGGAATATGAAGTTAGGTCACATTTCATAATATTTTTTTAAATTGTAAGCAAAAGTGTTAATCTAGTTAATTTTAAATATAAATATTCCATTCCAACGTGATACACAGATTTTAACTTCATTTTGTTGTCCAATATTATTAAATCAACATCAGAAAATTCATAGCGTTTTGCGTAAATAGTCAAAACCACGCAGTAAAATAATTCGTAGGTATTTTAAAATTCAAATTTAAGATCCAAATTCACAGTACATTCGCAAAGAGTTCAAGTCATATTTTATGTGGGTAACGCATTCCGCAACAACATCGAAGAAGTCTAACTTTCACATATTTTCCCGAAAATTTAGCTTACATACTCAGCTCACTCCTATGCAATCGCAAAAAAATTTAGAAACATGACTCTTTAAGCACATGTCGACAATACTTGTTAAAGAAACCTTTTCTCTACCTTGACGAGAAATGAACATGAAAGCTCTCACGATCATAAAATTAAACATCATGTTAGAAGTCATTCTATATTTAAAACCATGAAATTGAAAACATCTCCGAAATACTAAATGTTCTCAATGTACGGGAATATTTTATAGGGTTTATGGACCAGGACTAAGACAATTTTCGAACAATTACACAGTGATACAGCAAAAAAATGCAGGGGTTCTCATATACCAATTCCATTTCGTTATAGTCCATAGAGTAGGAATTTATTTTTAATTTTTCCCGATCACTTCGTTTAGTTCCTTTTTAAGAGCAAAAGTTGTGAAAAAGAGCTATTTCTGAAGTTTTAACTTTAAAAAAATATATGTCTGGTAGTTTGCAACCGATTTTCAAATTGGATATTTTGTTTTAAAGATACAAGTGTTGTCTTTCAACCCAAAAAAATAAATCCAAAATTTATGATTAATGTCTTGGTTACGGCCATTTAAGTAAAAAAACTCACACTTTTTTCACAATTTTTAATTTTCATACTGCTCTACGTTGGCCATGAAGCAATAACTTTAGCTTTTATTACATTTGAAAAAAGCCACATTAAGTTGGGTTTCCAATGATGGTCAATTTATGATAATCGATGAAAAAGGTTATGAGTTGTGCTAAGTTTTATAAAAATATAGCATATTTCTTCCATACAAAAACGTTCATGTTTCTGGTTTTCTTTGTAACAAGTTTAAAAAATGTTTATAAACATTTTTATACAAAAATTAATTTGTATGGAGAAAACCAAAAATTCGAGAAACATGCTATTAGAAAAATTGGCATAAATTATCCAGTTTTTCATAGATTTTTATGAAATAACAAGTTTTAGAAACCTTCCTTTATGTGATTCTTCAGGAAAGTAATAAAAGATGAACTCACTGCCTCATGGTCAAAGTAGAGCATGATGAAAATGAAAATTTTTTAAAAAAGTGTGAGTTTTTTTACTTAAACGACCGTAACTCAGACATTTGACCATAAATTTTGGATTTCTTTTTTTGGATTAAAAGACACTTGTATCATTAAAAAAAAAATCGGATTTGAAAATCGGATGAAAACTACTAAACTTATGATTTTTCAAATTTAAAACTTCAAAAATGGCTCTTTTTCGCATCTTTTGCTCTTAAAAAGTAAGTTAACGAAGTGATAGGGGAAAACTAAAAATATATTCGTACTCTATGGACTATAACGAAATAGAATTGGTATATGAGAACGCCTGCATTTTATTTTTCTTCACTTTTGTATCACAGTGTTATTTATAACAATAAGATATCAAAATATGTATGGGGGTCCGTGAAATTAAATAAATTCCTCAAGGGGTCCGCGAAGTAAAAAATGGTGGGAACCGCTGGTCTAGTCTATAATCTAGTCTATAGTCTAGTCTATAGTCTAGTCTATAGTCTAGTTTATAGTCTAGTCTATAGTCTAGTCTATAGTCTAGTCTATAGTCTAGTCTATAGTCTAGTCTATAGTCTAGTCTATAGTCTAGTCTATAGTCTATAGTCTATAGTCTATAGTCTAGTCTAGTCTATAGTCTAGTCTATAGTCTAGTCTATAGTCTAGTCTATAGTCTAGTCTATAGTCTAGTCTATAGTCTAGTCTATAGTCTAGTCTATAGTCTAGTCTATAGTCTAGTCTATAGTCTAGTCTATAGTCTAGTCTATAGTCTAGTCTATAGTCTAGTCTATAGTCTAGTCTATAGTCTAGTCTATAGTCTAGTCTATAGTCTAGTCTATAGTCTAGTCTATAGCCTAGTCTATAGCCTAGTCTATAGCCTAGTCTATAGTCTAGTCTATAGTCTAGTCTATAGTCTAGTCTATAGTCTAGTCTATAGTCTAGTCTATAGCCTAGTCTATAGTGTAATCTACAGTCTAGTCTATAGTTTAGTCTATAGTCTAGTCTATAGTCTAGTTTATAGTCTAGTTTATAGTATAGTCTATAGTCTAGTCTATAGTCTAGTCAATAGACTAGTCTATAGTCTAGTCAATAGTCTAGTCTATAGTCTGGTCTATTGTCTTGTCAAAAGTCTAGTTTATAGTCTAGTTTATAGTCTAGTCTATAGTCTAGTCTATAGTCTAGTCTATAGTCTAGTCTATAGTCTAGTCTATAGTCTAGTCTATAGTCTAGTCTATAGTGTAGTCTATAGTCTAGTCTATAGTCTAGTCTATAGTCTAGTCCATAGTCTAGTTTATAGTCTAGTCTATAGTCTAGTCTATAGTCTAGTCTATAGTCTAGTCTATAGTTTAGTCTATAGTCTAGTCTAAAGTCTAGTCTAAAGTCTAGTCTATAGTCTAGTCTATTGTCCAGTCTTTAATCTAGTCTATAGTACAGTATATAGACTAGTCTAAAGTTTAGTCTATAGTCTAGTCTATAGTCTAGTCTATAGTCTAGTCTATAGTCTAGTCTGTAGTCTAGTCTATAGTCTAGTCTATAGTCTAGTCTGTAGTCTAGTCTATAGTCTAGTCTAGTCTATAGTCTAGCCTATAGTCTAGGCTATAGTCAAGTCAAAAGTCTAGTCTATAGTCTAGTCTATTGTCTTGTCAAAAGTCTAGTCTATAGTCTATAGTATAGCCTATAGTATAGCCTATAGTCTAGTCTATAGTCTAGTCTATAGTCTATTCTATAGTTTAGTCTATACTCAAGACTAAACTCTAGTCTTACCTACATTTGGATGAAGCCTAGCTTTGGACTGTAGGTATTATTTAAAAATGAATTGGCAAATTTAAGAAATTTTCAAAAAAGTTGTAAATTAATTCCATTTAGATTAAAAAGCATTTTACTTAATGCTCTCGCGATAAAATTGATTTTTCGAACAATGAACTTAGCCCCATTATTCATAATGATTGATAAATATATTTATGGTTTATAACAGAAACTTTATATTGAAAAGTATTTATGAATACATCGGGTTAAGGTTTAAGCTTCAATCAGTTAACTTTATATCAAACACAATAACCATTTCGTTTCAGATTCTATTATACATTTGCTGAGAGCTTTGTTTTCCATTTGCAAACGCCTTCTAATTAATATAATTATAATACGAATTAAATACCAC